GGGCAGGAAGTTTATCTTCTTAATCTTTGCATGTCCGGTGCCTTGCGTGGTTGTTCAATAAATATTAGTGGAATAAATGATTCTATAAAATTAAATACCTACATGCATACAGATTTCTGACACATTTGTAAAGACCAGGAGGACCTCTGCTGTTTCATACAGTTCTTCAGGTTATGATCTGTGTTTTGTTCTCAAATCAGATTAAAGGGAAAAAGCGTTTGCTAGTCTACCATCACCATGTAGAGAAGAACTGCTTGTTCTTGAGTGCCACCTGCTGGCCAAATAGAGTAAAGCTCTTTGGTTAGGCAAAGAAGTTAATGCTGAAATACATTGAAATGAAAATAATGAGTAGTTAAGACTACTGATTTATAGATCTGAAATGCTAGGAAAATAAAGTACAAAACTGGACACACACTGTGATGTTAACTATAAAAAATATATATATAGAAGGCAAGGACTTGTAGTTGTATTAGGACATTGGGACTATGGGTGAATTCCTCTCTGTTCCCAGTTCTTTTAATATTATCATATGTAATCAGGGTTAATTAATAAAATTCTCAACTGAAGTCTGTCCAAGATATTAAAGTGGACTTAAAACAATGCCATCACTTCTCCAGTTGCCACAAAACCGTGAACCTGGGCCACCTGTGACTACCCCTTCTTCATTCTTTGGGTTAAGGTCACGTCCTGCCAATGTTTCTGCCTACCCATCATTCCTGTCCAACTAGTGAAAACGGCTACGTCCAACTTACAAGCTGCCTGCCTCAGTGCCAACCAAGTTGGATTTCAGTTAATTAAGATTTAGAGATCCATCCATTCATTGAGCAAACATTTACTGTAAGCTTTCCTTTGTGGCAGGCACCCCACTTAGGCTGGTTCCTCACCAATTTCAGATATAAGAAAATCTTACTCATTTGGATAAACTGGGGGAAAACCAAGCCCGATGACTGAAAAATCCCCAAATGGGAGAATAGCAGGAGGAAAAAACTCATTTATTCCTGCCAAGTATTTCATGAGAGCTGAAAAACAGAGACTTTGAAGACCTACTTTCAGTGATATAAATAAGAATTCTTGGTAAATTAACAGATTGAATGTCTTCATGCACATTCAGAGTGTCTGAAAACAATTTGCTCTTTTAATCAGTTTATATTAGTACCCTCCAATCCTGCTAACTCAATGTCATAAATAGTTTCTTAAATTGTTGGCAGGGGTTAAGGTTGTTTTTTGTTTCTTCTTGAGACAGAGTCTCACTCTGTCACTCAGACTGGAGTGCAGTGGTGCGATCTTGGCTCACTGCAACCTCCGCTTCCCGGGCAAGCAGTCCTCCAGCTCGGCCTCCCGAGTAGCTGGGACTACAGGCATGCGCCACCAAGCCCAGCTAATTTTTAAAGTATTTTTTGTAAAGAGGAAGTTTTGCCATGTTGCCCAGACTGGTCTTGAACTCTTGGCCTCAAGTGATCCCCCCACCCTGGCCTCCTAAAGTGTTGGTATTACAAGTGTGAGCCACCATGCCAGGTCTAAATTGTTTTTTAATAGCTCAAAAACATCAAACCTTAGTATATCTTCCGCTAACTTATTACCAAATTTTGAATCAGTATGGAGCACATGAGAGTTTACTGCCAACCCCAGTGCCTTGGTCTAGAGCTTCACTGTTCCTAACCTGGATATGGCTCTGCCCTGAACCTGCTGAGGAACTACGGCATTACACTGCTTTGATGTGCCTATTTCCTCATCTATAAAATGGGGATTAAAAAGAATGCCTCATCTTGGAATGTTCAGAAGATTAAAAGAGGTAAGGTAGATAAAATACCAAGCACAGGACCTGGCACATAGTAAATGCCTGAAAAATTGTTAAAATGGTGTTATTCAACGCCCGTGCTCCTTTCTCCTGACTGCCTGTAGTAGCATTTGCCACTTTGCCTTTTCTTTTTTTTTTTTTTGAGACGGAGTCTCGCTCTGTGCCCAGGCTGGAGTGCAGTGGCTGGATCTCAGCTCACTGCAAGCTCCGCCTCCCAGGTTCACGCCATTCTCCTGCCTCAGCCTCCCGAGTAACTGGGACTACAGGCGCCCGCCACCTCGCCCGGCTAGGTTTTTCGTATTTTTCAGTAGAGACGGGGTTTCACCATGTTAGCCAGGATGGTCTCGATCTCCTGACCTCGCGATCCGCCTGTCTCGGCCTCCCAAAGTGCTGGGATTACAGGCTTGAGCCACCGCGCCCGGCCGCCACTTTGCCTTTTCATTTACTAACCTTATTTGTGTATGTGTGTGTTTTGTCCCAAAACTATTAAGGGACTATATCTACATTCCTATTAGAATGCAGAGCTTAGTGCCTTGGATCCAGTAGAGCTAGGGAATTCACTCAGCCAGTTGTCCCATGAAGCCCTTTCTGTCTTGTGCAGTTTCGGGGGATGGAGGGGAGCAGGCAGCAGGGTTAATACAGGCAGTTGGGACTGCCAAAGTGACAAGCTGAGGATAAAGAGGTGGCCTGGGGGGATCAAGGAGAGCTTGCTTGGAGCTGTGGCCTTGAGGACATCCTTTATCTGCAGGTAGCCTAGGGTCATCTGGTGGGCTTCACCTCTGAAGGCACATCTCTAGGACCTAGAGGACCTGTGACTTATTGTCATTTTTAGAGCTGAAGGCCCGGCTCAATTGGAAGCTCTTTAAAAGGGAGCAAGCTGCAGAGCCAGAGTGGGGGACATGGGTCCCGATGCTACACATGAGCCCTGACACCTGTCATATTGGTGACTTAGTCACTAACCCCACAGTGAATGCAAGAGACTTTACACCAGTCCTTCTTCAAGGCGGGAACTGTCCCCTAAGGCAGTGCTTCTCTAGCTGCTATCTTAATATGTCTTCTTAATTTCTTCTTATGCTCCTAGGTATATTAATCATGAAACATACATATTTATAGAAGAAAAATTAACATGATGGATCTAGCTAGAGCTTTTGATCACTACCCTAAAAAGATGAAAGTTTTTCCATTTTTCCACCAAAATACCCAAATCCCTGCTGACTTTCAAATGAAACTCTTCCTGTAAAGCACGTTCTCCAGCAATGTAGGTAGGATATGTCCCAGAGACCACAATATCTGTCAAAAAAAACTTATACACTCAGCAACTCTGCCCATTGTGGATTTATCCAACCCTACTAGAATAGGTAATAGGGGTGTCTTCCCTCACTGTCATATTTCAAAGAACAAGACACAGATGTGATGGTGACAAAATAAGAAAAGCTCCTACCAGAACAAGCTCCTTTCCTAAATTCATTGGGTGCACCAGGCACTGTGAAGACTGGGGCCTTGCCCTTGAGGAGTTTATAATACACTAGCAATTATAAAAATACAAGAGTAGGCCGGGCGCGGTGGCTCAAGCCTGTAATCCCAGCACTTTGGGAGGCCAAGACGGGCGCATCACAAGGTCAGGAGATCGAGACCATCCTGGCTTACCCGGTGAAACCCCGTCTCTACTAAAAAATACAAAAAACTAGCCGGGCGAGGTGGCGGGCGCCTGTAGTCCCAGCTACTCGGGAGGCTGAGGCAGGAGAATGGCATAAACCCGGGAGGCGGAGCTTGCAGTGAGCTGAGATCCGGCCACTGCACTCCAGCCTGGGCGACAGAGCAAGACTCTATCTCAAAAAAAAAAAAAAAAATTACAAGAGTATAACTCAGGTATACATCAACAGAAGGGCCATAGAGGTACCAACGTGAGCCTGGGTACAGGAAGGCTCCACGAGGGCTTATCTATACAAGCTAAAATGTTTGCTATTTAACACGTGTAGAACAGGAGGTGAGGGTAGCACTGAACATTTTCAGCTGAGATAACAGCTTCATAGCAAAATGCTGAGAAAGGCTACAGGATTCTCCTCCTACTATAGGATTCAGGATGGTTTGGCAGGGGGAAGAGGCTGGTGGCACCCTACGAAGGAGTGGGGTATGCATGCATCATCCAGACAGAGTCCTAAGAACTGAGAGAGGAAAACAGATGCCCGTCTATGTGAGAATCAGGTAAATTAGCCCCCTCTCGGCCCCCTCTTGGCACCTCCCTCCCCTGGTCTTTTTTTTTTTTTTAGATGGAGTCTCACTCTGTCACCCAGGCTGGGGTGCAGTGGTGCGATCTTGGCTCACTGCAACTTCCGCCTCCCAGATTCAAGTGATTCTCCTGCTTCAGCCTCCTGAGTAGCTGGGACCATGCCTGGCTAATTTTGGTATTTTTAGTAGAGACAGGGTTTCACCATGTTGTCCAGGCTGGTCTCAAACTCCCGACCTCAGGTAATCCACTTGCCTCGGCCTCCCAAAATGCTGGGATTACAGGAGTGAGCCACTGCACCCGGCCCCCTCCCCCAGTCTTTACACCAGATGTGGCCTGTCTCAGTCACTCACCTCCCCACAAGAACCAGCAAATGAGATTTTTTTTTCTTTCTTTTTTGGGACACAGTCTAGCTGTTTCACTCAGACTGGAGTACAGTGGTACGATCTCAGCTCACTGCAGCCTCAATGATCCTCCTGCCTCAGCCTCCTAAGTAGCTGGAACTACAGGTGCATACCACCATACCCAGTTTTTTTTTTTTTTTTTTTTTTTTGGTACAGACAGTGTCTATGTTGCCCAGGCTGGTCTTGAACTCCTGGGCTCAAGTGATTCTCCTGCCTTAACCTCCCAAAGTGCTGAGATTACAGGCATGAGCCACCATGCCAGGCAAGAACTTTGATTCTAAACTTAGACAAATAAACTCCCATTCTAAAGGTAAAGATGCCGAAATGGGGAAAGTTCATGAAAGGTAATACAAATCATCACAAAATTAATTTGGAAGAGGAGGAGAGAACAGAAGAAAAATAATTTGAAGACTACTATTAGATCGCTTCTTATCACCAAACTGTATATCATTCAGAGCCATTAGGCTGATACAAACAAAACACACTTTGGGTCCAAAACATAAGCTTCTCTCTTCCCATTTCTGACATTTAACAAAGTAAGCAATGTAAACAAAATAAAATAGCAACTTACTATCCAGGAGTCTCTGAAGAAATTTCCGGAGTGGGGCTGATGGCTGAGCTCTGTAAATGTCCAAAAAAGAAAAAAAAGAAGAAAAAAAAAATAATGTAGATGATTTATTTTGACTCATATGTTTCAAGTCAAGAGGAAAAAGAGAGAGGTCAATTTCTTTTCCTAGTTTAGATCAGGATCTCTGGAAGTCACGGGGGCTGGATGGAAAAGGTCTTTGGTGCTGGTGGAGGGTGGTGCTCTTTCTCTGGGAGGAGACTGTATGGGCAGGTGGGCCTTCCTAATCTTTTGCCTTCCAGTGGATGCAGCCAAGGCCCTCTGGGTGGGTCAGGAGAAGGCCTCCTGGCTCATACGTATCTTCTGTCACAGGTCACTAGGTGATGGCCCACCGTGGGCCAACATGCTTTAGTGACATGGACAGCACATCCTCCACCAGCTTCTCCACAGCCCTCAGACCCCCTCTGAGCCCACTGCAGATCCCTTCATGCACCCCAAATGCCACATCCAGAGAGAGGGTCACCCAACACTTTAGGTCCAGAATGTACAAAAGCGTATTTTAAAATACCACGCTGTATTTAGATAACTTGTGCATGCCTGCAAATTTAGGAGTGCAGAAATGGGGAGATTTGCAATTTCACCAACCCTATTAATGACCATTTCGGCATGAATAAGGGAATGCTTTATAAAATTACCAGGCACCACGCAAAACGAAGAAAACAACCAAGAGCTACATGCAGAGAAAAAGCAACATAATTCTGTAGTTTAGGGTTTCTGTTGTCTTTGAGAGAAAAATGCAAAGGCTTTGATATGCTTGTTTTTAAAAATAAGGTAATAGTTGAATAAATCAATGCAAAGGTTAATTTTAAAGATACTTCTACCTTAAATAATGCCCTTATCTCTAATAATGACCATTTTAAGAAAAACTAACTATTTGGAAAAGAGACATTTAAGGAAAGGAGAGAAAGAAAAGGAAGAGATTGTGAAAGAGAGAAAAGGAAATGACAGGGAAGAACAGGCAAACTCACCCACTAGTCCCCTGCCTGCTGAAACCTGGTGGGCTTGTGTGCTTTCATTTCTGAGGGCACCTCTGCTCCGCGATGCGGACTGTACCCCACGCCACCCCCATTATTCGTCAGAGAGCACACCCCTCTTACCTCCACATCACCCTCCAGCCCTTATGGCTGCACTGTCTTGCCTGCCCATCCTCTCCTTCTTGAGTCTCCTACCTCTGAACACCTGTCCTGTCTGGTCTTCCACCTTGAAAAAACTTTGACCCTGTAGAATCCTCTGGGAACACTCCCCTCCCTTCCTTCCTCCCATGGCCACATCTTTTCACTCAGTGCTATACCTCTGCAGGCTCCCGATTCTTTGCCGTATACTCTAACTCCCATGAACTACTCACCCAGCAACCTCCAAAGCCTTTGGAAACATCTTCGTCAGCACATCCACTGACCTTCCTGGGAGTCCACCTTTCTGGACCTCTGGGAAGATCTCACACTTTCTCCTCTTGCTCCACCACTCGCTTTTCCCTCTGCCTCTGTGAACTCTCCTTTCTCTCCCTCTCCCCTTCTACTGTTCCACGTCACCCAACGTCCCCATGGGTAGTTCTTGGTTTCACATCCTCTCTCTCAACACAATTCCCTCTTCAGTCTTTCATCTACTCCCTAGTTGGGTGTCTTCTTCTACTCCCAGGGTTTAACCATCGCCTCTCCTCAGGTGATGCCAATCCCCATCTTAAGCCCATGTCTCCTCCAAGAACCCCAGTCTTAAAGTTCCAACTGCCTACCGGATATTCCCTATATGACACCCAACCAACACCTCAAAGGTCAATTACCTAAAGCCAACTCCCTCACCTTGCCTCTGCCCTGATCTTCTTCCCGGCTTTCCTCTGTGACGTGCTCACATCCTCATTCTTCCAGCTGCCTGGCCAAAACCCTAAGGTTGTCTTCGTCTGAATCCCATCCCTCAATTCTTTGCTCTTCACAACAGTTCAACTGTCCCACTGCAACATCTTCAGTGACCTGGACTGCATCTGTCCTCCTCACTGCATGCTGGCACACCCAGCATGGACTCTCACCACAGCCACAGTCACCATTCTCACTCCAGGACTAGTTGTGATCTCTTCTCAACTGGGACCTTCAGTTCCACAGTGGCTAATCTGGTCCCTTCACCCTAATTGGAAACTCAGCCCCTAACCCTCCCCCGCCACCTACCGCACCCATCACCTGTCTGCCTCACCCATGTGTGCAATGCCTCTGGTGGCTCCTTCAAGTGCTGAGGGAGAGTGTGAGCCTAACCCCTGGCCCTGCTGGCTTCCTCACGCTCTGCTGTCTCTGGATTCCCAATTCCTAACACCCTCAAGCAACCTGCAGCTCCTTGGCTCCTGAATCTCTTATCCCAGACCCCTTGGCCAAATCTCCGGTCTCTTCACCCCTTTCCTGGTTTGAATCGCTGCTGCTCTCATGACTTCTTTTGTGCCCAAGTCACTGGGGCTGGAGATCTGACTCCCCTCGTCTCCGTTCTGCTTAAGTGTGGCATGGATCCATCAGCAGTTTCCACCTTTCCTGTCATGGTTTGTGGACCTTCCTGGCCTCCTCAGCTCCATATTCCTTCTGTATCTTTTTTTTTTTTTTTTTGAGACATAGTCTTGCTCTGTCACCCAGGCTGGAGTGCAGAGATGTGATCTCAGCTCACTGCAACCTCTGCCTCCCGAATTCAAGCGATTCTCCTGCCTCAGCCTCCCAAATAGCTGGGAATACAGGGGCCCGCCACCATGCCTGGCTAGTTTTTGTATTTTTAGTAGAGACAGGGTTTCATCATGTTGGCCAGGCTGGTCTCGAACTCCTGACTTCAAGTGATCCACTTGCCTCGGCCTCCCAAATTGCTGGCATTACAGGCGAAGCCACCGTGCCCAGCCTCCTTTTGTATCTTCTCTAAAGATATCTTTTCCTTTTAAGAGTCTCTTTTGTTTTGTCAGGGAGCCCTACAGGCAATTCTAGGAACATTTGGTTTTTTCCTGTTTGGAAACCTACTTGCCACGGTGTCTTTCTCTCTCTCTCTTACTCTGTCTCATATACCCTTTAATAAACCACATTTTGACATAGCTCCCTTTAAAATATCAATGCAGGCTCAGTTTCAAACACTCTTTTTGTGTGTCCAGGCCATCTGACCTCTGAGTGCATTTTTCATTGAGAACTTTCTGACCTTTAAAATGACAAACACTACTACTCTGACAGCGCCATGCACAGAAAGGGTACCCAAAGCACTGCTGCTGAGTTTTTGAAACTGATCTCTGAGGTTGGTATCTCCCAGGGCTGCAAAAAAGACAAGGAAACTGCCAAAAATGGCTCCCTGAAAATTCAGAGAAGGCAGAGAGAGGCGAAGGAAGGGAACTTACAAGGTCGCCCCTGGAAAGCAGAGGAAGAGAGTAAGGTGGGAGAGTAGTTTAGCAGCCTCTCTGCATATATTTGAAGAATCCCCTTTAAGGAAGATGCCAAGCTCAAAAGAAAACCAAGCAAAAATGAACTGGGTAGGGGTGGGGGAAAGAGTCTAAAACAGGAGTCAGAAAGCCATGCAGCCTAAAATAGCCAGCATCACCGTCCGTCACCTCAACTACATCAACAACCATAGAACAAAGAAGAAAACAAAGCACAGCTTGAAAAGGAACTGATGGCATGAGAAAAACTAGGAAATACCTGTGGCACGTTTGCACTGGGTGCTTTATTAAGCGTCTCCATTTTTTCTAAATCTGCCTCTAACTCTGTCTGGCAGAGGCTGAGATCTTTGTCTAGATTAGTCTGGTTCAAGAAAGAAAAGATGGGAAAGAAGGTTTTAGTTTAGAGGAAAGGGAGAAAGAATGGAAGGTTAAGTTAGAAAAAAATGAATTTTTTTCTTAGTGTTATACTTTCATATGGCCAAGATAGCATGACTAAAACACGAGAGCTCACTGGAAATTAGTTGAAGACATGAAAACAGAGAATGTAACATTAGGCATATAAAACAGAAATCCTGAAGTCATCAGAGCTTCAAAAAGCCATTCTACTTGCCAAAGAGAACTATAAAAACCTACCTTTAAGGAAATGCCTATTTTCTCTTTTTTCAGAGTGTGGTGATGGTGACAAATACTATTGGTCAGAAGAACACATAATTGCTTTAAAAACCTCTAAACATTAGTATATGTCTTAGAGAATTTGTTAAATAGTTTTATTACCAAACCAAAAAAAAAAAAAAAAAAAAAAGCATCAAGTTTTTAAAAAAGTGATTTAAGAAAAAAACAAAAACAAAAACCAAAAAACAAACCCACAACACACTCACACTAACCAAGGCTAGAGAGCACACACAGTCAACGGAGGAGGCACAGCGGAATTACCTTTCTATCCTCTCTAGGAAGGATAGAGCAGTCTCCAGGAGTATAATCCCATATCTTTTTGGGAGGCTGACGGGAAGCAGAGGAGGAAATGAAGAAATGAGCATAAAGACATAAAGACAAACATGGAGACTGGCTCAAACAAGGAGGGGCACACTAGGAGAACTGTATCAACACAGAAAGGTGAACTCAAAAGTAAGGGAAGTGGGTGCTGCCTACGGACACAAGGCTGCCTGCTGGAGCAGAAGCCTGAGGACTTGGGAGCTGGGACCGTGACCTAGGAAGTCTGTTTCTATGTCTACGTTTCAAGAGCAAATCATCATTGGATTCTAAATATTGAAAACTTAAAAAAAGAAAAGAAGGGGGGGAAAAAAGCATTAACACACATTTGAACAAAAATAGAAACTTTTAAATTCCTCATTGTTCTTTTCAAACTAAGATTGACACTGAAGATTCTACATTTTTGAGGCAGTCTTCTGCTGCAAAATTCATGGTGTATTAACACGTGTGTGAATCTATGATCACTGGATTGATCAATGGACTGAACCAAATGTACTTTCTGTGGTTTGTAGCCACGAAATCCACGTATAAAATGGGTGTTAAATAGTGCACTAGGCAATTGCATACCAGTAGTTTTAAAATCTCCTTTTACAGTTTAACTAGACCTTGATAGTGGTGGAGACATACTTTTCATCCCCCCTTAGAGAACAGAGTTTAAACCCAGAATTTAAAGAGAGGACTACAAGGTTATTTTTGTTTTGTCTTTTAACTCTTCAAGTCAGATTTAGAGCTGCATTCCTAAGACAGAAATTTGCCAAAAGATTGCTGTAAGTTTAACGCGGGAGGAGTCCAGAGGCTGGAACATTCAGAGGTTACAGGTGACTTTTAACTCTGGATCCTCTCTTCCACTTTTCTGCCTATTTCGACTTGAGTTTTCTTACATAATGACCTCTAGGGGGATAAGAAATAGGGGATCACTAACAGCTCCTAAAATTTTGTGCAGATTTCATTATAGCCAACTCTATGGAAGCGTTCAAATTGGTTTACATTGTGAAATTTTGACTTGCTCTTACATATAGAAATAATGTCAATTTCTATAGAAATGAGAGGAAAACAACTCAGAAGAAAAAGCTGATTCCCAGGCTCTTTGTAATACATCTGCAAATGAGAAGTAATCTGATTCCAAGGTGTGTTCACCACTGACAGCAACAGGTCAGTAATGTCATCTCTGCACATGTATATTCTGTATTTCGTCAAGTAAGTGATATTAGCAATTGCCATTCATCTTTAAGCACTTGATACACTTGGACTGTTCATCTGCAGAAGCAGACTTTTTAAAATCTAATGACTTATGATCATTTCTTTCTTTACTGCAATAAACAGGACAGTGTTTACAAATTAAACTGGTTTTAAATAATCCATCCAAAAATGGTCCCTGGAGTCTTGAACTATTTGCTATTCTAACGACTTGTTGGAGCTAAAAAGGTATCTTTTTAGTGAGAATCCTGCTGAAATTTCAGTTCGTTTTGGGTGGTTTAAGCGAAGGGGTGGAGGAAGCAAGGAGTTCAGGGTAAATGTCTAGTGTCAAAGTTCTGACAGGCTTTACTCGGGGAAAGTGGTTCCCAGTTGGTGTGACCAAAAAAAAAAAAAAAAAAAATGTAGAAATGCTAATTCCCATGATCTGGTAGTTTTGATTCTGCTTCTGAATGGCTGAAAAACTTTCCAAAACAACTTCCATGGTTTATGCCACTTTATTTATGTCTCTTATTCTTTTGTGGCAGAGTGGTTTGAGTAGGAAGTGAAGAAAAAATTTTTCCTTACCACACCTTCCTCCCAAACCCTGTTGGTTCAACTAGGTCATAAGCCCACCATTAGGATGCCTCAGACCATAAGGAGCTGTTCATTTCAGGGCTATTCCTCAGGATATGGGCATTGATTTAGTTAATTTGGCAAGTCTTCACAAGTATTACCTTTTAAAATAAGACCTACACAAAAAGGAACAGTCTCATTAGAAGAACTCTGAGGCCTGTGCAAAGAATGCATGTGGCTTCAGAGAAAATGCTATTTTGAAAAAGCATCTCTGAGTCTTTAAATAATTAAGAGGCAGTTAGAGCAATGGGGTAGGGATACAAGCTAGAGGAAGGCCCCAGTATAAAACTGGACTGTGTTCTCAACATTTGTTTGAAGTTAGATGTGTGGTACTTGGAGTGAAGTTTTTGGCAGCAATACTGTTAATTTATCAAGCTATGCATGAAGACTATTTGATGTATGCTGGCATCAAAATACTATATATTATCCTCAAAAATTATTTGTAATGATAGATTTAGTAAAACATTCACAACTAATTAGGAAAAAAGTTCTACCATTTTTCCTGAAAGCTAGTATTTTAGACAAACCTGATTTAGTTGTTTGGCAGATGAGATAGGCAGAAATTTGTGGATTCTGAAACAGACTTCAAAAATCAATGGCATGGATTCTATTAAATATAATGTAATAGCTTTTGCTTTCTTTGATTAAAGTGTGGCATTATTGTTTCATATACCAATCATGGTCTGTTTTGGGGGTAGGGAGACAACTACACACAGCAAAAGCTTTTCTTGGTGACATAATTGACCAGGTTTTGAAAAAGAAGAAAAGAGAAAGGGTTAGGATATTGTTAAATACTGCACGTGGAAAAGATTTCCTGAGGTAGACTTAACTGATATCTGAATGGTGAACAGCAGAGGGGGAAAAAAAAGGAGAGAAAGGAGAAGAAATGAGGTGTGCACCAATGCTTTGGGAAGGGGAGAAGGAGGGTGTAGACTTTGGGTCAGATGCGTCCCTCTCCACTGGTCACTAGGTGGCGCTGTTCATCCAGGACAGCTCAGCTGCTATCGGGAGACAGTGTCTAGGAGGGACCAGAAGAGAGGAACAAGCAGGCTGTTTGCAAGTCTGGTGCTCTTAACTCAGAAGATGCCTGAACTTTCAAAGCTCAGCACCGCCAAATCAAAGAGCAATTCCTAAGCACCAGCTTAATTTCTCTTTGTCTTTGTTTTAATAAAAAATCTTAAGACATTTTACTGAACTATAAAATTCATTCCTGTCTGCAAATAAAACTATCATCCAGACCATAGAAACTCAAAAGCTGGATCCAATGCCTAAAGTCTCATACAATCATTGAATAAAATGTGTTTATACACTTAACTCCTCTACCTGTAAATTCTTTTTGCAGCTATAATAATTAAGACTTTAAAGTAACTAGAGTTTTAAAGTCAGTTTCCAGTTATCTCTAGAGGAAGGATGAGCTCAATTCTCCCTTCTATTTCATATTCCTTTGGGTGCAAGGCTAAGAAAATCCTCCTTTAAGTGCCAAAAGTCAATTTGTACCAGAGCCGATTCAGAGATACCATGGGGCAAGAGTAGGCTGAATACTAAATATGCTCAAATTCCTTACTCCCATTTCAAACTTTGGGAAATAGAAATCATCCCCTAAAAGTCACCTATAATGGGGTTGCATCTGTGGGTCACATCTGCATAAAGAGGTCCTTCTTGGCCTGTTCTGGGACTTCATTTACATATGTGCTTTTAAAAATGCTATTTAAAGCAGAGACAATGCTTGTCTTCTCAGTGTGTAATGCATTTTCAGCTTGTCTTTCACAGGCCATAAAGACTTTGGTCAAGGAAGTGAACCAATGGCTGAAATAATGCCATCCACAAGGCATGTGATACTTGTTGTTAGTCGGGGGAGGTCTAAGACAAGCAATGATTATTTGTGTTTCTCTGGGATATTCCAGCAAGATATACTTCCAGAGCTCACTATCCTTTCTCAGTGAAGTAAGGCAAAGGAAAGCTTAGAGGTTGTAGTGAGAAGAGACAATCCCACTACGGACAACTAACATGACTGCTCCCTACTTTCTGAATTCCTTACAAACATCTGATTCTTTAGCAGCAACAATGCATCCACAGCATTAGTTTAAAAGGTGTATAACCACTGAAGCTATTAAACTTACCGGTTTCCCAAACTCCAATTCCGAAAAGAATTTATACCAAGGTTCATTCTTTAAATCTATCTCTTCTGGGCTTATATCCCGACTCTAAAGGGGTTGGTGATAGGGAAATGGAAGAAAGAGAAGGATAACATTATGCAAAGATTACATAGGAACAGGCCAGTAGAGATGCAGTGGTTTCCAGGTATATACAGCAGCTGCATTCAACAGCAGCAATCATCTGTTTTTACTGACAACAGCAAAAACAGGAGGGAGAGGATGGGTTTATAAAAACAGGGAAATTGAGGCAGGGGACAGTGAGTGAATCATTCTCAGCCCTAAGGCAGAAGAAAATGGACTACAGATGGACAACTCTGCACCACACTGCTGCCTACACAACGAGTCTGAATCTGGGCATAACAGCATTCTGCAATAATTTTCAGTAATGTCGAAGAAAAGAAAGCCCTTTACAAGGAACTATTAGTTATGAGCAAATTACCTGGTGAGCACACCAAACATTTAGCCATCTATGCCAGTTGAGTAGAGCAGATTTTTATGGGCTAGTACAACTTTAGTACTTATTTGCAAAGCCACCTTAAGGTTTTCGAAATAAACGCAAATATTGACACTTTATAAAAGCCAATTGGTTAATACTGCATCTTTAATGGCACATGAGTAGGTAGGAAACCATGTCCCGTACATAGTAAAGTGAAAGTGAAAAATGATGTAAGTAAAGACAGAGGACACAGTGAAAAAAACATTTTAAACAAGCATCCAGGGCGGATGAATACAGACAGAATATACTTCGTATTTTAACAAATAAATGTTAAAGAATTGGGAAAATTGGGAAAAAATAAAGTGAAAGAAAAGCTAGACAAGACAGATAACAGAACAAAGGGGAAAAAACTTCTGAGTTATGTGACAAAAATAAGTTAGATTTCTCACTTTATATAATACTATGAGGTATCAATAGACTGATAATTTGATTCCATGGGATATAATATTTAACCAAATAAAGTTCTGGCACCTATTTCATGGAGTAACACGTGTTTCTGGAAAAAACTCGTTGGAAAATGAATGCGTGCAAAGCAAATCAGGTTTTCCCCTTAATAAATTGGAGAAATGTTTACATCAGGCAAAAGTGTTTGAGGTTCATGACTAATTAAATATGCATATATGTTTCAAATCAGTTTGGTAACCATGAAAAGAGAGTTGGGGTGATTTTCTACAATAACCTGAAATATAAAATGCATACACTTTCTACTGAGATTGAAAACACTGCACAACAAACTTCACTACTTCTGGGCTATAACATCTGAGGGAGGGGGTTGCCATGTCTGGTGTGCAGGTCTTTAATGCTAGTGCTTCACAAACCAGCTCTTCTTGACTATACTTTTCTCACAACATAGTTAACATCCCCTTTGCAGCTTGTAGAAATGGCTGCTAACTTTCTTAGTGACCTTTACCAATCCCTTTTTCTAAGATCTTTAAAAGAATCTTTAGCATTACTTTCACTTTTGCTACAGGTAGAGGACAATACGGAAATACGGCAGGGAACCTTCCTTTAACTGAAATCAAGCTAGGTTGAAATCGGAGGGAAATACATACTGAAACACAAGGTCTGTCCTCCTGCATGCAGATAAAACCTCCTCCAGTTGTCTTTAGGGACTTAGGGTTTAAATCCTGAAGGAGAAGGCTTGCCCTCACTGTAGTAAATGGATTCTATATTTATTCAATTCAGTGAAAGGAGGTACGATACGTACAAAAACACAACTATTCAGGAGTGGCAATTTAGACATTGGGACTTCCTAGATCCTAATATGATGGGATTTCATGAAATCTATTTCATGTTTGTTATTTTTACAAAGACTATTTATAAACTGCCCTCTGGGGATGGTTAGGCTTTTTTTCTCTTTTCTTAAATAAAATGTACCAGCTCTTTCGGGAAACTGCCTGAAAGTTTTGGTACTCATGAACCTAAAGTAATTAACTCATTTTATTCCCAAAGGTTGTCTGCAGATTGTTTTACTGTGGAGGTTAATGCTGTGCCCATAATAGAATCAGGAGGTTATGTCAAACAGCGATGGGTGAGAGCAACCAGCCTCAGTCCTTTGAGCTGCCCAGAGATAAAGCTAAAAAGGTGATACCACACAGCCCTCACATCTGCATTTGATTCTGCCAAGTGTAACTCAGCTGTGGATCCTGTTATGGAACAGACCAATAGAAAAACATCCTTCTGGACACAGAGCAGGAACTCTGGCCTGGCAGACAGGGAAAATTCCATAACGCCTGGGGAAGTTCCTTAGTACCACAGGCTATTCTCCCAGCTCAAAAAAAAAAAAAAAAAAAAAAAATTCCTTGGAAAAGGGCAGGTAACTCACCAGAAAATTGCCAGCTTCTCCTCAAAGACAGTTTTGCTTCTTGAATAGAAGCCAGAGACCAGCTTCAAATTCCAATTAAATAAATCACCTGAATGTGGTATGTCTGTGTAGCACTTTATTAATATTCATAGTTACTGTACCCATATTATCACATTTGACCCACCCGATCTTCCAATTCCTAGTCCAGTGTTCTTTACACTATACCACATTCCCCTTTTCATATTCCACATGACAGGGGGGCAGGCCCACTAAGTTTGCGATGACACCAAGCTAAAGCAGGGCTAAATGACCATGCTGAAAAGTCAGGGAAGGAACTCAAAGTGAGGGTGAACTGGGAAGAAACCAAGCTGCATAAATCTCCTTGTTTTACACTTCCAAATGTATACTGTGTCTGTAATCACTCTTTTAATATCTGTCCGTCCTACTATATATATACACCCACACACACACACATATATATATGTATTTAACTGAGCTGAACTTCTGTAAGAGACTTAGAGGAGAGTCCTGAAAGCAAGGACTGACCAATAGATCTCCAATTCCAAGGCTAGAAGAGAAAAAAGTATCCTACTATGATAAGAGGGGACCAAGCAGAGATAAAGACCCTCATATGTGCCAGGTTTGGTGGCTCAAGTCTATAGTCCCAGCATTTTGGGAGGCCAAGAGGGGTAGATTGCTTGAGCCGAGGAGTTTGAGACCAGCCTAGACAACATGGTGAGACCCCATCTCTACCAAAAAAAAAAAAAACAAAAAAAAAAACAAAAAAAAAAAAATTAGCTGGAGCCAGGCATGGTGGCTCACGGCTGTAATCCCACATTTTGGGAGGTAGAGGTGGGCGGATCATTTGAGGCCAGTTTAAGACCAGCCTGGCCAACATGGTGAAACTCCATCTCTACTAAAAATACAAAAATTAGCCGGGCGTGGTGGTGCATGCCTGTAATCCCATCTACTTGGGAGGCTAAGGCAGGAGAATTGCATGAACCCGGGATGCACAGATTGCAGTGAGCTGAGATTGCACCACTGCACTCCAACCTGGGCAACAGGGCGAGACTCCGTCTCAAAAAAACAAAGAAAGAAATTAGCTGGGAATGGTGGTGCATGCCTGTAGCCCTGGCTGCTTGGGAGGCTGACAGTGAGAGGATTGCCTGAGCCTGGGAGGTCAAGGCTTCAGTGAGCCATGACCACATCACTGCACTCCAGCCTGGGTGATAGAGTGAGACCCTATCTCAAAAAAAAAAAAAAAAAAAAAAAAAAAGACCTTCATATGAGTCTTTCAAATAGATGACTAGGTCATCAAGGTTGTGAGTCTTCTGTAGGGGGTTTTGAAGGCAGTACAGTGTTTCTTCCATCTTTCTGGAATGATTTGAGTATGCTCCAGGGGCAAGGTGAGCTCTAGGGCAACCTCTCGTGCTAACCATGCATAGATGTGCCTATGAAGTCACAATTGAAATTGCCAGCGTTAAGCAGACATCAGTACCTCAAATGGAAAAAGCAATTTTTCTCCCAAAATGAGGTAGTGCATATCTGAGAGCAGACTTAGATTCTACATCTGTCACTAGTGAGCACCCTTACCCAGTTAACAATGCAAGTGTGTGTTTTGGTGGTGTGGGGGTATATGCTCAAATTCTGGCAAACCAGACACTAGATACCAAAAGCCAAGACTCGCATGCTGAAACTCACACTTCACCTTTTCTGTCCATGTGATAAAAATAGCAGGAAACGAAATCAAACACAAAGGATGAATTTGACTACTGTGAAGGGCAGACTGTCAAAAGATTGAGATTCAACTAAAACTTCTCTTTGGAGGAACAGAGCTAAATTGGGTGAAACTATTGGACACTCCTACTCCTCCCTGGCCTGCCTTTGGTGTTCAAGCAAAGGTGAACACCTAGGTGGCCTGGCCTAGGGCTTGGGACTACACAGAGCAGCCTTGCAATGCACGTGCATGCTCACCACCATTCTCCAAGAGGGCCCCGTGGGGCACTATGTGTTACTTTCCAGGGTCTGTACAAACAACGTAAATGATCCCAAGAACTGTGGTATGGAAGATTCTCATCAACTACTGCGGTATCAATGAGAAAAACAAAACTATGTTGTTTTTCCTAGTTCTGAGTAGTGGTTAAATGACTAAGAACCAGGAAAAGGAGCTGGAAACAAAGGAGAAATTGAGAAAAGGGAGCCTTCAGTAAGAGCCATGAAAATCTATAAACGGTGATACTGCCAAGACAAAAACACCCAAAGGTCTACAGAGTCCCTGAAATCATTTAAATGTATTCATATGTAATGGTGGGTCCCAGACTTATTATTAATGTTGGAAATAAACCCAAGGAGCATGACTTTCTTTGCAGGGGCACCTGGGGGCAAGGTTACCTTCCATGTTTCTTATGTACGGTATCTGCTAACAGCAGAGAACCTCCAAAGAAGGGCAGTGGTAAAATTCTGTGCTCCTCTCTGAACTTTCTGCTTGAAATAACTGTGGTGCATAGTGAACGCTGAAGAATGACAACTCCAAGTATGTCTGTGACCTGTTGACCTTTTTTCCTAATTAAAATGACTTATCGTTCAGTGCTTTTAGAGACGTCACATTTTTATCTCAGTAGAAGTCAAATCGATTCTTCTTTCAAAACATGTAGAGCCGAAGAGGCAAAGGGAAAATAATTGGAGCCTGCATTTCAGAGGCCTGCTTATTCTGCACACATTGTGGTGACCATATTTTAATAAAAACCAACCCCCAGCATAGTAATTCCATCCTGCTGTCCCGCTGGAGGACTGCAATGTTTATGAAGCTTTGGAGAACCCCTTAACTAGGATCACAATTCCAAACCAGCTTTTCCTAATGAAGGGTGAATAAAAGGACGCATGATTGGCAGGTGTGAAACTACTGAATGTGTAAGAATTCTCCCTGTTTCACAGAAGAGGCCGCTTTTCCAGGGTGGTCTGCTATATGCATACACACCATTTTCCCCACTCATAATTGCTTAGAGATGTGAACTGTTATAGGGAATCATAAACCAGGTCGAATATGAAATTAGTCTGCAATATTGCACTTGTCAAAAAAGGAAGACCTAAAAGATAGATTCTAACAGCCTGGGGTCTTTTTTCCAAGTCACAACATCCTATTAGTTATGTAGCTTTTAATGATGTTCTAGCAACTTGTACAAAATTTATGCCTGTTCAGAGTCACTTAAAAAAAACTGGACTTCAGTCCACTTAATGACAAGCCTGATAAATGAACACTTAGACATTTAAAAAAAGACAGCAGCAAAATCAATCTTTATGTTAGTAGAAAAATTAATATTAGTTAAAACCATGCACAAAAAGAGCAACAGAGCCACAATAAGAGGATTTTTTAAAAGCAGACTCGCGGGACTTTTATGAACACCTGCAAAAATGAAAATGGTAAAAGTATTTCATTTTTGTCATTATCTTCAAAACAAAGCAAGTCTATCTCAAGGGGGAAAGAATGTAATCCAACTGCACAATGCATTCTGATTAAAGAACATGGGCAAGGTGAGACAAAAGAACTTTAATATGCACATTACCATCTTTTCGTTGGTCAAAACGGAAGACTTGCCCGGCTGATATTCGTAAATGCTTTTGGGCTCTGCACGGTATTTTCTTGTATCTACTTTCTTATCTGGGGGTTCCCAGTCATTTCTGTAGAAAGAAAATTCTATTAGAGCTATTTTCATGACAACTGGCATTCGCTTCTGACACAGTCTGACTTTGGATGGCTGCAGTGTAATCAAAGAACTTTATATCCAAAGCATAAAATCGGAGTCAGGGTGAATAATTTAGTTGTGCTGGTTAGCTTCTCAAAACAACCAGTTAAACTTTGGTGTTCGCTTCACAAAAGGTTTGAGATGTCCTGTGCTCAAAACCAGGCACCAGGAAGGGGAGAGGAGAAAGCAACAGGAAAGGAGGTGGCAGCAGCATCAAAGCTGGCTCTGGAAAAATCTTTCACCTTGCTTCACTCTCATGGGCTTTTCATTCCACAGACATGCCTGTACTTCCCACTCACACTAATGCAGTGAGAGAGAACACAGGTCCTGGAGCCAGTTGACTGTGGTTCAAATCCTGCCACACCCCTTGCTAGCGAGGTGATCTTAGACAAGTATTTCACCTCTTGGTATCTCAGTTTCCTCATCTGAAAAATGGGGTTGTTGTAAAGACTAAACAATTTACATGAGACAGGCGCATGTAAGTCACTGAGCAGAGTACCAGGCCCATGGTAACCACACAATAAATGTTAGCTGCTACCATAACTGCATTCTTCCCTGTTCCACACTGGAATAGGGAAGAGGTAACTGGGTTACCTCTTCACATTGTTGATTGTATCCTTGGCTGTACAAACGCTTTTTAACTTGATGTGATCCCATCTGTCCATTTTTGCTTTGGTTGCCTGTGCTTGTGAAGTATTACTCAGGAGATTTTTGCCCAGACCAATGTCCTGGAGATTTTCCCTAATGTTTTCTTATAGCAGTTTCATAGTTTGAGACCTTAGATTGAAGTCAGTAACCGATTTTGGTATATGGTGAGAGATGGGGGTCTAGCTTCAGTCTTCTGCATAGCCAGTTTTCCCAGCACCATTTACTGAAGGGACTGTCTTTCCCCCAGTGTGTGTTCTTGGCACCTTTGTGGAAAATGAGTTCACAATAAGTGTGTGGATTTGTTCCTGGGTTCTCTATTCTGTTCCATTGGTCTACATGTCTGCTTTTATGCTAGTACCAAGCTGTTTTGGTTACTATAAGCTCTATTTTGCAAATTTTTTATTTGTGCATTACTGTACTTTGCTCTGTGATTATATTAAGTTTTTCATGCAAGGCTGTAAACTTCTTGAAGGCAGGTAATGATTTATATATAACTATATCCTTCCATAATACATCTGCAGAGAATACACCCAGTGGGTTCTGGATGAAGGCACCTATAAGGGATTTGCAGGTATACCCAGCTTTCTTTTCAAATTAATTATCAAACTCCTCAGGCAGATGCCACTTAAGTTTGTGTGGTGCTTTTAAAACAGCCATTAATTTGTCTGTGAGATTGGAAAAGGTACAGAGGTATGAAATTGGATGTGTATTTAAGGAAGAAGTAAATAATTTTGTTTGGCCAGAGCCTTTTGTGAGTTGAGAAGTGGTGTAAGTTAGGGCTGGAAGACGCATGGAACACCTGTCCAAATAGCATGAGAAGGTTGCTTCAGAGGGCATTTTTAGGGATAAGAACTCAAGTCAGGTGTTTGGGACCAGCCTAGCCAACATGGTGAAACCCTGTCTCTACTAAAAAAACACAAAAATTAACCGCAAGTGGTGGTGCACACCTGTAGTCCCAGCTACTTGGGAGCCTGAGGCATGAGAACTGCTCGAACCCAGGAGGCGGAGTGTTGCAGTGAGTCGAGATCGCACCACTGTACTCCAGCCTGGGCGACAGAGCAAAACTCCGCCTCAAAAAAAAAAAAAAAAAAAAAAAAAAAAAAAAAAAAACTCAAGAAAAAGAAAACTGTGTTGTTTGGTGCAGGCATTTTAAGAGATTTATTAATGTCGTCACTAGAACAAGTCCAAGGCTTATGTCTCAATAATACATGTTGTATGAGTAAATGGACATTAAAAAGTGTGGCTTCTTTTTAAAGTTGTAGTCATTGTTATGAATATGTTAACACAGTATGCACAAAGAATGTGACAACATGTGACAAATCTTGCAGTTAAGATTTCTCTTGTGAAAATGTAAAAAGTGATGATAATGATAGTCAATATTAATTAAGCCCATACTCTGAGCCAAGTGCTACCAGGAATGTTTACATGCATTATCTCATTTTATCCTTGCACTATCCTTACTAGGAACCACGCTATTTTTATCCCCATTTGACAGAGGAGGACGTTGAGGCTAAGAAATAAGAAGTCACTGCTAACAGGAGACAGGGGACAGACTCAAATTCCACATTCCTAAGAATGGAGGCTCCTAGGTCTCAATGAACACTGACGAGGCCCAGGCTGGATGAATGAGAGACAAGCGGGCACTTACCTTTCTGGGCTTGACTTCAGTGAGGAAGAGCGGGCTGGGAGGGGGAGCGTGGCTGACCTCTTGACTACCTTCTCACCATCAATGTAGCTCATCTCACTTTTTGAGCGAGGCACAGAAAGGGGAGATTTTGCTGGAGAAAGAGTGCAGACAAAAGACTTAAAACTCACAAAAACTGAAAACAGGGTGATTATCTTCCTTCATCCACCACTTTCCCTTCCTCCCCCACAACCAGGTTATTCGAAGTCACTTACTGTCTTCAGAAAACGAGTATCTGGGAGAGTATAGATCTGAATCATCATCTATTGAACAAAACAAAATGTAGTCAGGAGAAGTCTGGCGAAGGTAAGAGAACCAAGTTGTATGTTCCCCATTTCCACAGTCCGGTACAAGCATCCAGCCCCACTAGGGATCCCAGCAGAGAGAAGTAGAGTGAAGCGCCGGAAGCTACACCACGGCAGCGCATGTTTGAGAGGAGCAAGGTTTGTAGAGCACATCCAACCAAACCTGTAGTCCAGGCAGGACAGTCACAACTGGCGGATGCTGCTGCCTGACATCAAGAAATGCATGGGGACAAACAGCCAAAGGTCCTCCTCCAGAGGATCCACACAACCAAAGCTGGAATGCAGGGTCTGGGTCTGGCTGAATGGGAAGCAGGGGCTGAGATGGATCCCCGGCTGCGCCAGCTCAGTGTATGGTTAAGCCCACCAAGTTCAACAGTGTTTCGAAAGGCCTCTTAGCAGGACCTCGGGCTGCTACTGGATGGGAAGGAGATGCCCAGAGGGTGGGTTTTCTAGCTCCTTGCCTCGGCTTTGACCTGTTTTATATGGTAAGCTTTCATACACATCATTAACAAAGAAGTTCTGCAGCTAAGAGAAGAATTTAAGAAAATCCTCATCAAAATTTGTTTTGATTCCACCTCAATCTGGTTCCCTGAGTAGATTTGTTTCCTTGGAACACAAGAGACCCATGGTTAAACGGCTTCCTCTGCAAAGGTACTACTCAGAGTGAGTATCTAAACTGCAACTCTGGAACAAATCAAACTCACACGTGTCTCTATGGTGGGAGGTGGCTCTCCAAAGGCATGACACACATCCCTATGTAGGCTTGACACTGGGTTCTAAAACTTGCAGAATGTATAAAGATCTGAACCCCTTGTGGAAGTGGTTGTACTTTCTGAACTAAAAATCAGACCACAGGTACATCGATGGGAACAGGTTTTTAAAGTGGGACTGTCCTGAAAATGCATTCTATCTAGTCACTACATCCATGATGATCCCTCCAAAGCACTACTCCAAAAAGAGTTAGTCTGAAATAGTTAGCCTTTCCCGTGTTCTAACATCTTGTTAATCTGGATTCAAAATTCACATACATGGAATGAAGACCCAACTCCTTCCCTAAAGTTCATGACAACTTTAGCAAAGCACATGAACTAACCTGCAAAGACAAGTCAAAGAATCCACTGTATGGAGGTGACTTCGTGTTAATCAAGTCCTTGTTTCTATACAAATCATTTGAAGTTTCAGAAGAGACAAGGCCAGAATATTTTGTGAAATATAAATAAGCTAACATTGCTATTAGTTCAGACAGCCTCTCTAACAATCACTACTTCTTGTCCCCTCTTTTCCCCATTTTTATTTGTCTCAGGTCTCCCTTGGCCCAAATAAGGGACAGGCATCAGGTACCAAAGTGCCTTTTCCCCTACTTCCTTCCCTCACTTTAAAGAATTTATCAGTATCAAGGTTGAACAGGGCTTAAGGTTTTTTTCCTACCAACACAGCCAAGCCTTTCACTATTTTAAAGTGAGTGTATAAGCTTATTTATGTTATCTTCTAAAAATAGAACAGGGGAAGGAGATAAAGTGGGATCCACAAAAAGATTTTTTGAAAGATTATTCTGAAAAATTGTGCATTTCCAGTTTTTTTGTTTTTTTAAACAGAACATCTGATTATACTGACAAAATGCCATGATGTCAAAGAAAACTAAAAATGAGCTTTGATTACAGGGACTTGATTAGAAAAAGTGCTGCAATGAAAATGCCCGAATGAAAAGTTAGCTTAGTTAGAAGCTGATGTATGCACTGCTTAAAATGTAGCCTAGCATTTTAGCTCAAAACCCTGCACATCTCACGGAGAAATTACAGCTTATTAGTAGATGATGAGATGAAGGTTAATTTATAACTATTACCTGGTTCATGAAGTAAGAAGCAAAGTTTTCACTGGGTGGAGAGGAGTGGCATTTAAATATTCAGAGGTTTTTTTTCATCGTTTTGTTTTTTAAGCCTGAGCTCTTTAAAAAATGTTTCTTCCTAGAGCTTTCTAACATGGAACTCTAGAAGGTTTATTAGAAGAAAATAAGAAATACTGGTTGAGCGTGGTAGCACACACCTGTAACCCCAGCACTTTGGGAGGCTGAGGTGGGTGTATCACTTGAGGTCAGGAGTTTGAGATCAGCCTGCCCAACATGGTAAAACCCCATCTCTATTAAAAATACAAAAATTAGCCAGGCGTGGTGGCATGCGCCTGTAGTCCCAGCTACTTGGGAGGCTGAGGCAGAAGAATTGCTTGAACCCCAGAGGCGGAGGCTGGGGTGAGCCAAGATCATGCCCCTGCACTCCAGCCTGGGTGATGGAGTGAGATTCTGTCTCAAAAAGAAAAAAACAAAAAAAAAAAGGAAGAAGAACATGAGAAATAGTTCTTGTAAGATGGGGAAAAAAATAGCACTACTTGGAAAGTTTAACAGTGTATGTACTTTGAAAAGGAGAAGGAGAAGCAGGAAAGTTGGAGTTGGGGGATGCAGGTAACAGAGGCGTCTGAAGAACTGAATGTGCTTAAAGCTCCTTTCTTGGACGGGACTGGTGGCTCACACCTGTAACCCCAATGCTTTGGGAAGCTGGGGAGGGAGGATGTCTTGAGGCCAGAAATCCAAGACCAGCCTGGGCAACATAGCGAGATCCCATCTCTACAAAAAATTTTTAAAAATTAGCCACGCATGGTGGCGCACAGCTGCAGTCCTAGCTACTTGGGATGCTGAGGTGGGAAGATGGCTTGAGTCTAGGAGTTTGAGGCTGCAGTGAGCTATGACTGTACCATTGCACTCCAGCCTGGGTGACATGACAGAGCAAGAATTTCTCTCTTAAAAAAAAAAAAAAGCCACTTGTTTCTTATTCAGTGTCAGTAGAGAAATCTCACCCATGCCAGGTTAAGACAGAGCAGGGGAGTCTCTGTGAACAAGTTTTCATTTCTCTCAAAGGATCCACAGGTACTGATATGTGGATTTGAGCTCATGAACTTTTAACAGGACAAACTGAAGTCATATAGATTCATCTGAACAACTATAACACAGGACAAGTTCTAGGGCATGTAAAATCTTTTAATTTTTGATGCTTGTCTTGTAAATCTAATGGAAGAATATTTTACCTCAGCTTATGAATAAAAATAATTGTAGCTCCCATTGTTAAGTGACTAACAATGGCTAGTAATTTACTAATGTCATCTCACTTAAACCTTGCAAAAAAAACTCAAAGTTCCTCATTTTACAGACAAGGAAACTAAAGCCCAAGTAGGTTGTGAAGATTTGCCCTTGGCTGCAGGGTGAGAAAGACAAAGTAGAAAATGATTCAAGGTCTTTCAGATTCCACTTCCCTATGTCATCTCATAGCCCCAGGACAGAGATGCCCACTGCGTTCTTTCACCCCAGCTTCATCTGCCCAATCCTGGGAAAGCTGAAAGACTGGCTACTCTATTACCACATTCTTATAGAAGAGGCAGAGAAAGATGCTGTCTTGAAACTCAAGGCATGCACTGCACTGTTGGCTGAGCCAATTTCCGGCCCCTGAAGCCTTTGCCCGATTTTTGCATCCCCTCACCGTCAGTGATGTTTAAGCAAGTTTGCTGAGTTGCCTCACATTTCTAGTTTTCCTCTTGCTGGTCTCCAGGGACAATGGGTAACACTGAGTCACTCTTGCTACATCTGTTTCTTTTTTTTTTTTGAGACACAGTCTTGCTCTGTCGCCCAGGCTGGTGTGCAGTGGTGCAATCTTGGCTCACTGCAAGCTCCGCCTCCTGGGTTCAAGCAGTTCTCCTGTCACAGCCTCCCAAGTAGCTGGGACTACAAGCACCCGCCACCATGCCCAGCTAATTTTTGTATTTTTAGTAGAGACAGGATTTCACCATATTGGTCAGGCTGGTCTCGAACTCCTGACCTCAGGTGATCCACCTGCCTCAGCCTCCCAAAGTGCTGGGATTACAGGCATGAGCTACTGCGCCTGGCCTGTACACCTTCTATTAATAGTTGCTGCTCCTTGCTGCCTTTTCCTGGGAGGCTAAGTCCACAATGGGGAAGATGGGTATGCAGTTAGAAATACCAAGGAATGGGAAAACAGTGTAAGGAGCATGTCTGCATTTCTCCACACTAGAGCCAGCCAAATGAGACAAGTGTGCTTAACATAGTTAAGACACGTTAAATGAAATGTTTCTCAAATTGTCTATTACCTAGCACCTGAAGCTCTACCTTCAGTATTTCTCCAGGGGCCTTTAAAACAATGCCAGAGTGGGTTCAGCTGTGCAGAAATCTTGTGGTTTCTGCTCATGGTGGAACCACGTGCTAATTGTGCTCCTCAGAGCTCCAAGCAGCAGACATCAAACCTTGGCAGCAACACTCGGACCTTCCTATGCCAGTGATTTCCAGGAAGCTGTAACACTGCATGGGATTTACACAGGGCAAACAACTCACTTAGGCCTCTGAAGGTCCTGCTGGGCTCTAATGTTTACACAATGATTCTTCTCTGGGCTTTGGCAATCTGTCCTTGGTAGCTCAATTTGGGGACAGCCACTCTCCTACAACTGCCAGGAGCCACACAATTGCTTTTTCAAGCACAGTGACTTTAAGTGAGCTTCCAAATCACTTTTTTTTCCTGTTGTTTTTTCTTTAATTTATAAAAATCTCAAAGACAACTGAAGAAAGTACTGGTTGAAAGTTGTTCTGAAAAACTACATAACTGACTAAAATGGGAGGATGGGCAAAAATTATTTGCATAACCACTTGCCTGTATCAATTAAATTTCAATTTTATGCATTTCTCAGGCTTTTAAACTTAAAACAATTTTCCAAATATTAATGGCTCATTTTTGACACAATCTTTCTTCCACTGCGCAACCTAAATCCTCCTCTGGCTTTACCCCTCACACTTAGGAGGAGAAAGGATAAAAGGGTAAAGATAGTCATACATGACCCCCATGAACAAAAATAGTAGTCAGGGGAAAAGACACAGATGTAGAGTTGGGTACTGAGTCTGGGTGGGG